TTTAAACATAAATCACACGGATTAGACGGTATTTTTAACTGTTCATTGTGTACACTGGGAGCAAAAGGGAATTCCTGCTATGAAGTAGGTAAAACGATGCTGTTTAAAAAGTATTTATATTATAAATGTATAAGTATACTGTTTTGAATATGTAAACTTAAGGATTTATTGACGATCACAAGTTCAATACTAAAGGTAGCACTATACTAGACTCTACTGGCAGCAGGATAACCTTTCTTGGTCATGTTACACACCGTGTGCCTGATTTGAAGGTCACAAATAGGAGGCTAATAGTTGTTTTAAAAGTTGTTTTGATAGAAATGATGGCATAGTCAAAGTCTGCATACATTTTAACCGTAATGTTTGATTTACTCTTTTTTTTCTTAATATACCACACAGTTGTTACAATCTTGATACAATATTTCATACCATTAACTTAACTTATCCGGGAGAACACGGTAATGATAATTGTAATTATTGTAATACTCAGTGACTATTGGCAAATTAGTAGTATACATATCATGTTATTTTCAGTGACATTCCAAAATGCAGACTGAACCTCAAGGCAGTAAGTATACTGTAGTGGTATGTAATGTTCAACCCTTCGATTTGATGTATGCGTTGTATCTCCTAATACGCATAATGTCCTGATACATGTAATAGTATAATAATATATTTGAGATATACAATATGTATTACATTTTATCGTTGCGGACATATGTTTGCGCAGTCATTAGCTCATTTGGGTGTCTGTTTACATAAGTATGCTAAATGCTCCAATCCCTTTCGAAAATTCACATGATATGCGGTTTATTCCACACACAAAATTTCACGAAATATATATTATTAAGCTAATGTTCATGAACTGAAACTTCATATCAAAATTGAATGTGAAATTGTTTTGCATGCCTTATTGAATGCCTTATAAGCTGAAAGTGAGGAATATGTCGAACATTTTATTAATATAATCAATACTGCTTAGTTTTCAAAACGATTTTCGAAAATATCATTTTCTATTACGTCACAATCATTGATCTGTGTTATAAAATTTGCAGAAAGCATGACATGTCTACGCTACTATGGATTATCTTTTGTTCATTTTAGTCCCTCAGCCCTTGGAATGTGACCCTATTTCCATATCTCCAACCTCCCCCAATGTTTATTTTGTGAAAGTAAAATGAGTAAACTGCCATGCATGAATTGACAAAGTGTCATGACAGTTGACACTTTTTACAAAATGTGTAAAATGCCCACTCGTAATTTGACAAACTGTCAGACAAACACTTTTTACTAACATGAGTGTTCTGTCGGCCGCTATCTGCCATCGTAGTAAAAAGCTGACAACACAATTTATAACATATAATTACATTCAAGCAAATTGTAATGAAATACTAGACGTTCTGCCTTAACTGAAGCAAGGCCAGTCTGCTGGCGAGGATAGAATCAGAACATGTTACGAAGTTCTATAGAAACCATTTTATTTACCTTGAAGCGTATTGTATGTGTCTTTATAAGCAAGTAAATATCCACACACTTGGAAAATAGCAGAAGTCATGGCACTGTTTTAAAATGGTGACAGACATTTTCTTACCAATTTATGGCCAATTTCTCCATTATCAACAGCCGGGGAAGTGTTTGAAAACTTAAGCATCAGCCTGGCCTTATGACTACTGTATACATCAGTCATGGAGAAAAACTGACCACATATATATACCGGCAGTATCCTGCGACTTTTTAGGCTCTCGATCAGTTTTGGAATAAAGATTTGATGATGAAGTCAAAAGAGATCTTACGGAGTGAATATCTGGGTGGAAATTTCATTGGAAATATTTTTATAAAAAGGTTTTATTTCAATAATAATTATTATTTTCAATTAAGCATAAGGAAGCAACAGTGTTCTTCTTTATCGTCAAATTCAATTCTTTAATTATCTATATAAATGATATTGCCGATTTATTTCAATAAGTTACTCTTCTTTTCGCAGTTGATACTACTTGGGTATAACATATCATCCTTATGTACCAACAAAGAGAATTGGAGTCTGTTAATGATTGTTCTCGATTTCGTAGGAAATATTTCGGTGGGAAAGAAAGCTTAAGTAACAGTTATGTTAAACGTTACAGACACTGGGGAACGTCTGTATCGATAATTTAGATTTTGTATTGAGTCAAGAAATTCTGTCAACTGTAGGTAAACGAAGCCAACTCCAGCTTTTACATAAAATGAACACTTATTTATCTCCAGATATCTTAAACCATCTCTTGTCGCAGACAGTTAAAAACAACAACCAGTTCGACTTAAAAAGGATGAACGTCACACAAACACAGTTGAATGCAGCTTTAAAATGTGGAAATAGGTACAGTATGCCAATAGTGAAATACACTGCATCATACAGCTGTTTCGTCCCTCTTGGACCCATCGGTGATACTACGGCCCAAAAATAAAATAATGATGATAAAATTCCTCGTTTTGGGATTTTCTTGTCTTTCTTTTACGCTTCGCAACTGGAATTTGTTGGATATTTAGTACGTGGTGGACGTCATTTGATTGTTTTGCATGTCTAGCTTGGACATTAGTGTAGTTCCATTGGAGGGTGACATTTACAGAGTGAATCTATTCGCCCGGATTATAACTATTGCCATCCATATAAGGAAGTCGCACATTTACTTTGAATGTCCAGATTTCAGAATTGGAAGGCGTATCATGTTTCGTTTATTTTGATTTTGAGTCTAATTAGGTTTTGTTCACATCTATCGGTTTTGTTTTGTTTTGTTTTGTGCAACGTCCTATTAACAGCTAAGGTTACATAAGGACGTGCCTCCATGTACGTTGTGTTTGCGTACATGTGCTGGAAGCAGGATTTGTTGTTGATTTTGCCTCCATCTAATTGTGTAACTGAACAAAAATGTATTTAGGCATGTGTATCCCCTCATCAAGTGTGTTTTTGTGATTTGTTTCTGTACTAATTAAATCATGTCAGCTTATTGAATTAAACGGACTCCTGGTTTGACCTGTAAATACTATTCAAATCTTCATAAACTCTGTTTCTTTGTGTTTATATTTATGTAAGTATTTCAATGTATTAAATAATTACAGAATATCACGCTGTATTTTCAGTGTTTGTCGTTCGAACAATTTTCTCATTCCGAGCACGTGGATAAAATCGGGAGGCCACCGCAGGTGGACTCGAGATTTTATCTACATGCTCGCAATGATAAACTTGTTCTCACGACAAACACGAAAAATAATGTATGATAAACTATTTATCATCTATATACTACTATCTTTTGTGATTTGTTTCTGTACTACATGTAATTGAATCATGTCAGCTTATTGAAGTAAACGGATTCCTGGTTTGACCTGTTTACTAGTGTATACTATACCGATTATACTAGTCTTCGTGTTTTGCTTTATTTATACTACTATCTTATATATTTCCCCATTAAAAAACTCAACTAAACACTATGTCCAAATGACTTCTAAGCTCAATGGAAAACAATCCTATCGTCATTGGCTTTTCCATATGCACATTTACACCTGAAATGGTGTTGTTATTCTCTCAATATTTTCCCGTTACTTTGTATTGATATGTTTTTGACGGACTATTTTTTTTACGCGGATTACTTTTGTGTGGACACTATTTCCGGTTTTGCACATCATCTGGCGCGAGCAGATCATGTTGCCGGTAGGTTGTACATGTGTATAAAGCAGTATATAGATGATAAAGTGGATTCCTTCCTAAACCTGTAAATACATGTACCATTCTAAAGCAAATACCGTGTATAATATTTATACTGCATACCATACAAAACCAGTAAATAGGTACATTATGTACTTACACGTAACCTTTAAACATAACTTATTTCGTAAATAACCAGTGAACACTGTACTTCGTCAAAAATGACACACTAAACAAGATAACCCAATATGTACAATGTATACACTGCACTAAATCCACGTATTTTATTATCTTTATACATGTACAGTGTACATTGTACCAACACGAGGCTTCTGACCAGAAACCGTCACGCCATATAAAACAGAAACAGTTTTACTCTTAGCAAGTATTAAGTCAAATGGTAAAAGCACATTCCGTCGATAGTTTTTACATTATCCGGATGTTGATGAACATTAAGCTGTCATCGTAAATGACGGTCGTTCTAATCACGATTTATTTATATTACATTACGTTTCCAAGGTGACGCCAACATCCCAAGGACGCTTTATACTATAAAAGTAGATTATTGGCCACCGATGTTTTTCTCCAAACATCCTTGTTTAGAAAATGACGTTTCAGTACATCTGCCCACTGTCCATGTATATGACCAGGGACGAATTGTGTCCAGTCTCTTTGGCTTAATGATACTCTCAGTCTAATGCTCAAGTCCGCATTAACAATTTTAAAAGGACTTCAGGTGATGTTTACATGTATCCATGAATTATGGACCTGGACTAAGAAATACATATCGAGGTTGAAAGCAGAGGTGACTATAGCAGAGTTATGATGGTCCGCAACTGACGTCCTGAATTGCTTTATTATACGTCATTGTATATTTAACCATTCCATTCCTCATGTCACGTTGCATAGTCAATTATAGTATGTAGCACATGCTTTTGTTGTTGGAATGAAGTTTCTGTAATAGATATACATATTTGTCATATGATGTTTCCCTCAAAAAAAAGTTCTCGATTCACAGCCTGTTTTAGAATGGGTACTGTAAAGGCTTAAATTGATACATGAAAATCCCCTAGCCTATTTTAAAAAGTGGTCTGTGATATATCAGGTGTTCTTATAACAGTTTCTGTAGCAGATTCACAAAACCTTGACATGGTATTGTTCGTCTTATCAGAGTTGGAATTAGCAATAGACATAGTATGACAGGATACTGACGGTGTCAAAAACACGACTGTTTCATTAAGAACTTTTGTTTCCGTTGACGTGAATCTGCACAAGGTCGACATCATATGGCCAGTCTCTACAATCAACATCCTATGACCAGTCTCTACAATCAACATCCTATGACCAGTCTCTACAATCGACATCCTATGACCAGTCTCTACAATCGACATCCTATGACCAGTCTCTACAATCGACATCCTATGACCTGTCTCTACAATCACCATCCTATGACCAGTCTCTACAATCGACATCCTATGACCAGTCTCTACAATCGACATCCTATGACCAGTCTTTACAATCAACATCCAATGACCGGTCACTTCAATCAACATCCTATGACCTGTCTCTACGATCGACATCCTATGACCAGTCTCCACAATCAACACCCTATGACCAGTCTCCACAATCAACATCCTATGACCTGTCTCTACAATCGACATCCTATGCCCAGCCTCTACAATCGACATCCTATGACCTGTCTCTACAATCGACATCCTATGACCTGTCTCAACAATCCCCATCCTATGCCCAGTCTCTACAATCGACATCCTATGACCTGTCTCTACAATCGACATCCTATGACAAGTCTCTACAATCAACATCCTATGACCAGTCTCTAGAATCGACATCCTATGACCAGTCTTTACAATCAACATCAAATGACCGGTCACTACAATCAACATCCTATGACCTGTCTCTCCAATCGACATCCTATGACCAGTCTCCACGATCGCCATCCTATGACCAGTCTCTACAATTGACATCCTATGACCTGTCTCTACAATCGACATCCTATGACCTGTCTCAACAATCCCCATCCTATGCCCAGTCTCTACAATCGACATCCTATGACCTGTCTCCACAATCGACATCCTATGACCAGTCTCTACAATCAACACCCTATGACCAGTCTCTATAATCGACATCCTATGACCAGTCTCTATAATCAACATCCTATGACCAGTCTCTACAATCAACACCCTATGACCAGTCTCTATAATCGACATCCTATGACCAGTCTCTATAATCAACATCCTATGACCAGTCTCTACAATCGACATCCTATGACCAGCCTCTACAATCGACATCCTATGACCAGTCTTTACAATCAACATCCAATGACCGGTCACTACAATCAACATCCTATGACCTGTCTCTACAATCGACATCCTATGACCAGTCTCCACAATCAACATCCTATGACCAGTCTCTTCAATCGACATCCTATGACCAGTCTCTACAATCGACAGCCTATGACCAGTCTCTACAACCAACATCCTATGACCAGTCTCTACAACCGACATCCTATGACCAGTCTCTACAATCGATATCCTATGACCAGTCTCCACAATCAACATCCTATGACCAGTCTCCACAATCAACACCCTATGACCAGTCTCCACAATCAACATCCCATGACCAGTCTCCACAATCAACATCCTATGACCAGTCTCCACAATCAACATCCTATGACCTGTCTCTTCAATCGACATCCTATGACCAGTCTCTACAATCGACATCCTATGACCAGTCTCTACAATCAACATCCTATGACCAGTCTCTACAATCGACATCCTATGACCGGTCTCCACAATCAAGAACGTTATTTTGGATATGATAGTTGGACCACCTTTCGCAGTTCGTCCGTTCTAGCGGTTTATCGGATATATAAATCAGCCTAAGCCGACATCATGGTGGACACAACATATAAGTTATATTTAACTGTCATAGCCGACACTATATGGAACATAACATAGTGGCTATATTAGACAGGATTTCGGGATGCACATTTTTATAGTGTTTTAGACACAGGAGAAAGGACATGTCCCGAAGATAAATCTTCAGGACGACTATCTCATTGTGTTGTCGAGGGCTCCCAAAAGAACCGGACGTGTTAAACACCCGGAGGAATATTAACTTTATTTATTGCCACGTTTTTAAAAGAAAACATTCAAATAGAACTTCATTGTAAGCAGCAAATCGGTAAAATTGAATAAAAATATGGGAGCCCTGGAGCCCTCCCCACACCCCTCCTCTTTGATTTCCTGATTTTCTCTTTTTTAGAATAATGATTAATTTTATATGCTATATTGAATCGAAATCGAAATGGGTTGAATCAATTCGTGATATGGAAAGATCAATAACCGTTTAATGTTTTATTTTTATGGCACTATGCGGTTTCGTACATTTAGTTGCAATAGTTTTATGTTGCGGGCTCAAAGGGGATTACATTTTTTTTGCAAAAAAGTATGCATAATTCAAAGTACACAATTACGTGATAACAGAAATATTTTCAACTGCATGATCGCGTCTGCGGTTATTGACATGAACACGAGTAGTCACCCCATATTGACGTCGTTTGTTTACATAGTTAATATTCGATAAGTAAAATAACCCATTGCCTACGTGATGTTAAGTATCAATGATATAAACGCCTCGGTACCCATATACATGAACGACAAACGATATATAGAGGTTACATAACGAGTGGTTGTTGAATATGGTATTTATTTCCCTCGAGCTAGTTAATTTTCAAAAGTTACAAAAGACACGAGCTTTAAATTGAGCGAGTGCTTTCTGTAACCTTTGAAAATTAACTAACGAGAGTGAAATAAATACCATACTCAACAACCACACGAGTCGTGTGATCTTTTTCTGCCACAATCTCAGTCGGAAACAGCTGGAGTATTTCCTGATTTGAATAACATACCCACATTTTGTTGACAAGGCTGCCGTAGTGATATGACCCATATGTAAAAAGTCACTCATTAATATTCAAAAATGACCCTTTTTTTACAAATTGAATAATTTAATTTTATGTTTCAGCAAAAACTTCGTGAAAAAGTAAAATAGATGAACGACTTTAGATATTGAGAGTATGCAATATTGCATTAATTAATATAAATTAACCACGGACTATATGCGCGTAAGCATATCGTACGCAACAAATTCGTGAAAAAGTAAAATAGATGAACGACTTTAGATATTGAGAGTATTGTACGAAGTCTGACCCCCTCTCCCAAGTGATGAAGACGAACTAATCGCTGTCAATGTCCAAAACCATAGGCATTGTACGTTTCTTCGTGAGGTTCTATGGTTGACATTTATAGTGAAAGTTCCGCCATAGACAGGCCCATATATATTACGTCTGGTTTTCACGACCTGGACACGCGACGGTATGGCATGGAAACGATATCGAGCGTCTGTAGCAGTTTTGCCTGAAACTAGCGATCAAATCTTTAAACATCATCTTCTTTTGGTATTGCCTTAATAACCCCCTTTTCCCATCGCATAACCTCACAAAAGTCACCAACATTTGCCGGATGTTGACAGCAGTCGACGTAAACAAAACAGCACGCGGCAAAAAGCGCGTGAAAAAAGTCGTCCGGTCAAGGTTCATCTTCTCGACCAATCAAAACTACGGAAGGTCATATACCACGTGTGGTGTATAACTTATATGTATTCAACAGTCTGCATGTCTATACAATGATCTGAGAGTGGAATAACACAGCGTATTGTGGTAGAAACTTATATAATTGGTCGGTCCTCCAATATATCCCCTCGCGATAATTATCATCATCATTTCTCTAATATATGCCCTCGCGATAGTCATCATCATCACTTCTCTACATGTAATATATGCCCTCGCGATAGTCATCATCATCATTTCTCTAATATATCCTCGCGATAATCATCATCATCATCATTTTTTTAATATATTGCCTCATCATCGTCAACACCATCATCATCATCATCATCAGCATCATCATCATCATCATCGTCATTTCTTGAAATGTGCGCTCGTAAAATCATCGTCGTCGTAGCCGTGGTTGTATTGATGGACATTGTCGTATGTAACTAATCTTCCCCTATTACCGAAACCAGGCCATGCAGTGTTCACAATGCTCAAACACGTAGGTGTAGAGAAAGAGCTCAACTAAGCTAACAAATTTACTAGACTTGCTACCGGTATCTTCCAAGAATACTCAAGGGAAATAACTTTGGTTTCAAAAAGCCTGTCTACATATTCCTTTAACTGATTGATAATTTATGGCCGTGAATAAACTACATAACCGATATTTGAAAAAGTATTCGTTGAGTCCCTGGCCACGAATCAACGATCTCGGGAGTCCGATTCACGTTGAAACACAAGATCATTTCCTCCAATATTATTGACTAATTATCCACAATTATTGATTGTTTGAAGTATGTTGATGCTAAAAAGCAATATGCCACGTTAACACAACCGACAGGAAATAATGGTGTGTTTCAAGCAAGAAATAAACTCACATAAGTGTATGTTGTATGTATCATTACGTTAATTCCTCAAACTATGAAGCCAGTTTCTGTAAACATATCTTTTATAGCGCACTCAAAGTTTAGCGCATCGTCAAAGGAGGGGTGCCAATTTCTTCTGGTGGCTATCATCGATAGATTTTATGTTTTGTATATACATACCTTGGGATTATGCCATCATGATATGACATGACATTAAGGTCAGCTTGGAGACCATTCCGAGATATAAGTGGGTAAAGTGGGGGATCAAAATCACAAATGAACGCTTTTTTACAAAACTACATGTAATTTTTCAAAAGTTTGGTGTATTGTGTAACACTAAAACTGCAAATACTAAAAAAAAATGGCCGAAAAGAGTAGCACATTGGTGATAAGTAGGTCACCTTGTTCAATATTGGCTTAATTATGTCAACAAGTATCTTAAACAAACCTGAAGAATTGTGGTTCAAAAATAATNGGGGGGGGGGGCGTTGTTTCCTCATTCTTTTGAACCCTTTTATTCATGTTTATAATAACTACATGTAAACTTATTGGTACATCCGACCTTCGGAGATATTAGACCAGAAAAATACAAACGTATGTAAATGATTACTTTTTGATATATCTGAAAGTCGAATGCTTGTCTAAATAAACGTGTGACTTTTGTGCTAAAAACGCTGTCTTTATGAATAAAAGTGTTAAAAAAGAAGAATAAAGAAAAGAGAAAAGAATCTCTCCCCCACCTTGGCTTACTTCGACAACCCCCGAACAAAACGTTCATTTGTGATTTTGGTCCCACACGCAACCTCCTAATATCTCGGAATGGTCTCCAAGCTGACCTTTGTTTCATGTCATATCATAATGCCACCCGCACTTTTCAACAGTTTAACTAGCGCGTTGACGATTTAGGGGACCGACGCAATATGTAATAGAGAACAATATAAATTAACCTGAATTGACGCATTGATAATTTAGAGCACTTTTAAAGCGCGTAAAGCCCTGAAATATGAATACCGCTGAATATCACATTTATCACTTAGAAGATCACGCAATATGTTCAAGGCAGTCTATGAGATGAAACGGGGCACGCGTTGTTTTCAACAAAACTTTTTTCAGGTTTAATATTTATGGTAATATCAACCATTCAAGATTTATTTTACTGCGCCATTAAGATCATGAAACCTGGTTACCAATTGATATTCATTTATGGTTTAAAAAATAAATGGCAAACATATAGTTATTGCTATATTTGAAAAGAATTCTACACTCGGTGAATAAACATTATATGTAAATTATAAATTTCGCATAATATGAACAATGTGAAGAAGACGGGTTTTAGAGTTTACTTTAATTGCTGATATTCTCAAATAATAAATTGACAAAAAATTACCAACTTGAAAATCGTCACATCGCGCGAGTGTTGTCACGAAGTGTGAAAACGCAAAACTCCCCACAAGCGTATTATTCAAATTGTAAAGAACAAGTGAGCGAATAGTTTTATTTGTAGAGTGGAAACAAGAAAATTGTCATACTGCGTATATTTTCTACTGAGACAATACGAAAATCATCACACCGCGAATTAGAGTCGTATTTAATGCGAAATTACAGTCGTATTTAATGTCAGTTAATGCGAAAATGGCAACA